AAAAAAGGAAGGGAAGGGAAGGGAAGGGAAGGGAAGGGAAGGGAAGGGAAGGGAAGGGAAGAATCAGAAGTTCTCAATTTCTCCAGAGACACCAAGAAAAAATGGCAGAGGTTCACCAGTATACATGATGAACAGCAAGAAATGCCATTTCCCTTCTAATTCGAAGCCCTCATTGATCTCCATTCTTTTAGAAGCCTGCTCCCAATTTAACCTCCAAGATTGTTTCTTAACACTCACTATGAAATAAATTATACATATTTTACGGAAATGAAGAACAAAATAGCCAAATTTCAGAAATGCCTAAAAGCACCCTTTCATCAAAAAGATGAGGACATTTGGTCTTCCCAAAAGGCTGTCCCTTCCCTTTGGTGTCACCCACCTTCCCTGGTGGAGATGGTTCCTTCTGCACAAGGAAGACAGTCGTAGCAGCAGACAGGCTTCCCTTCTTGAGCCACCTTCCGGAATCCAGGACGACAGCGTTCCACACACCGGGAAGGAGGCAGGGGCTGAGCAGAGAGAGGAAGAACATCCAGAAAATGAACTAATTTTCAGAAAAATGGCAAAGGAGGAAAGGTTGGTGATCTCCAGTTGAAGGATTAGGTTAGACTAATTAGAAGCCAATTAGAAACGTGAGCTTCATCAAGCAGAGTGAACTGCGTATTCCTTCTCTGTCTCTATTCCCTTCAGATGTTTTATACACACACATGCTACTATTTTCAGACTTTCATTTTAAATTTAGATATTCAATTCTTCAAGGAAATACTGGAATTCCTTGTTTGGGCTATGTAAACCACGTTATTTGCATGACTGGGTCAGGCTACCTCCCTTTCCATAGACTCAGTGAATAATTTCCATGAAAACTGAAGACTCTATTTTTCAAGGGCTCCTGAATAGGAGAAGTTCACAGTCTTGAGAAAATGATCATCTGACATGACAACTCAGAGGCATTGAAAGCAAACTCCCACCCCACACCAAAAGTGCCATCCTCTTCTTGTCACCTGTAGCGGAGTTAAGTCAATATTATTCCTACCTTGGTCAGCATTTTCACCTGGGCGATACTCTCCTGGTCGATGGTAAATTTAAAATCCTGAGATGCCTGGTTTTCTAGACTCCCAGATTTCACTCTCTTGACCGATTTGTTGGGGAAAACTACCCAGTTCACAATGTCCAGGTCAGCTGTCAGATCTCCTTTCTCATCCAGGTATACTCCACCCATGGAATGATTGTGAAGCGGAGAGTTTTGAAGGAAGGAGTGGAGCTGGAAAGGAAGGGAAAAGACATCAGAAGTTTGGCAAACAACCAATTCTTTTTTCATTGATGTGTTATCAACCTCAAAAAAAAAAAAAGAAAGAAAAGAAAAGAAACCTAAAGAAGTCAATTTCAGCCATTCAGATTTTCCTTTAGCTTGATGATTGTTGAGTGATTTTTCTCTTTTGTTCTTTCATTCATTGCCCACTTGAGATGGGTAGCTTCACATTTCCTCCCTCCCTATGTTGTTCTCCTGGGTCTTCATCAGCAAAGACCAGTGACTTAGCATGGGAAATACCACTGATGATCCAAAGATATTGGTCCACAACATCTCTCTTCTTGCTAACAGTCATTCCTTTCTGTGATTGGAGAGTATTAGCTGATTGTCTCCCACAGTCTAAAGTGTAAGCCCAAGTTGGCTCCTTGTCAGCACAACCTTAGCCCTGTGGTCAAGTCAACAGGTCAAAAATGCTGATGGCAGAGGAGAGGTCTCCTCTACTGTCACATCCACACCCTTATGCACTAGAAGGAGCATGACCACTGCATAAAGTTAATCACTTCTTTAAACTGTCCCAATTACCTCTGAACACTTTGCCTTCCTCCTGAGGAACTGAGAAACAGATGAATTTCTTGTGGACAATGAACTGATTTCTTCCTTCCTTTGGATTGACTAGCCTTGCAGGAACAAATATCCTTTGTGCTGAATTACCTCCAAACTGCCAGCTACTCAGTATTTGTTCACTGTGTTTATCATTAACACCCAATTTTAATTAACAACTGTTAAGGAACAAGCTTCACTCTGCTTAGCTTCCCAGCCCAGAGAAGGTTGGCCCTGTGAAGGCAGCTTCGGAGACCCTCTGTCATTCGGTGAGACATGAGAGCCTTGGCAAAAGAGTGGAGCTGGCTGTAGCCATGGAATAGAGAGAGAGGCCCTGGGCAAAGGGAGGCCTTGAGCAGAAGGGGAGCCCATCAGGGGACGGGGCAGAGGTGTCAGGCTGTCCCCCCATCAGAAGGGATGGAATGGGGCTCTCTGGGACCCAGCAGTGCTCTGCTTTCAGGGAGAAATTTCAAAGAAGAGAGACATGGACGCAGTACAATACATTGGCCAAGAAACCAGTTCTTAGAAGATATTTCATGGAATGAGATAAAAGGATGGCTGAACAACCGAGATGTCAAAGTATTCTCTTTGAAAAAAAAAAAGTTCTGTGTGTGTGTGTGTGTGTGTGTGGGGGGAATATTGGAAAAACAAGGATCAGAGGGAATGGAAAAGTAAATGAAGGGTACGGAAAGTGGGAATTAGATTGGTTTTGAGTTTCAGGATAATTTAAATGTTCAGAATAAGTAACCAAGGCACCCACTGACAAAACTGATTACTACCTGCACGGGAAATGTGTCTACTGGAAAAGAAATACCTGCCAAGCCCCCAGCCTTGGAGCTTCCACCATCATTCCCCTGTTCCTCACTGATCTCTTGGACCTGGATACAGACGCTGAATGTAAGGCCCGTCCCACAGCCCAGATCGCGTTGTGAATGAGAAAGTTGTCCAAAGCCTGGATCCGATCACTCTCCTCTTGGGGCAGAGGCTCCAGTTCTTCTCTCTGTCTGCACCGACTCCACAGTTTCACCGAAAAGGCATCCTTAGTGGATGAACAAGTAAAGGTTTTCCTTACAAAGCCATGCATGGCTTTGTAAAAGAGGGGAAAAGCATCATAATTTGCCCATTTCCTTTTCTGTAACAAAAAGGAAAAAACACTACCAACGTATTTAAAGGAAAAGGTATTGAGCATCAACTCAAGACTGAGATCCCAATGAGCTGCGGTGATCCAGACTTTTTCTACAGCATCTTCCTGAAAATCTTGAAGTAGTGCATGTACAACCTGTAGTCCTATTTGGAAGGAATTAGTCTCTGCACCG